ATAGTTAAACATGTCGTACAAAAGGGAAAAACAAATCAAAAATTAAGTATTAAAAAACGTTCACTGAAACAAAACGAAAACAATATGGAAAATTTTAAACCCAAATGTTGCTCAACATTCAATCTTTAAAAGCATTTTAAAAAAGAAAAGAGTTTCTATGCAAGAAAAAAGTTATAGGGAAAAAGAAAAAAGTTGCGATACCTATGATGGACCGTTATATAATTTTTGGACAAAAATGCCTTGTGTGATATTTTCAAGTATACTTTTTTTTGGGAGCCAACCAGTCAACATTAAAACTTGAATTTGATATAAATATGGATTTTCTCATCAATTAAAACTGGTTTCAAAACATGTTCGAGAAAAAAAGGAATGCTTTACATCTTCAAAAATTGAAAAATCAAATACATCACACCTTCGATGTGAATGTTCGTGCTGTTCAAGCATTACTTGCAATCAGTGGGGGCCCTGTATCGGTTGAAAAAAATTTTTCATGTTTCTCAATATGCCTTTGTGTCGAGTAAAACCTTTAATGAAATTAAAAGCTCATTAACTCATGCCCCCTTTTTTCCCAAACTGTGTTGAACTATGTACATAACAGTGTTCAAAATCATAAGCAAATTGGATCAAAAAGGGTCAAATCTGTTACGATATTGTTTTTTCTTTTATGGGACATGGTTGACCCGGGGGCACACATCCAAATGGTGTTGGGGTGTAGTCGACACTTTAACAGGATACGTTATTGACTATGAAATTATGAGCAAGTACTGTCCTATATGTATAAGTGCGAAAAATGAATTAGGCGAAACTACAGCTGAATACGATGTTGGTATTCTGGCCACAAAAATTCCTGCCAGATTAACCACATTGGGATATCAGGAGCAATGGAAATGAAGGCTGCAGCTAAAATTTGGTCTCTGATCAGAAGCATGGGGTTTTTCGTTACACAACATTGTTATCGGATGGTGATGCTAAAACTCATAAATTTTAAATAGCCTAAAATATATGGACCAGATGTTGAAATTTTGAAAAGAAGAGTGTATTAATCACGTAAGCAAAAGATTAGGCACCCGCTTACGTAATCTTGTGAAAGTTTGGGAGAGCTAAAGGTATCACTTTGGGAGGAAAATCTTATGGCAGCCTAAAAGAAACAACAATAAAAACTAACGCAGTACTATCGAAAGCTATTCTGGAAAAAAAAAAGGAGATATTCAGGGCATGAAAAATCTATATATCCCACACTTTATATATATCACAGTATTTTCGACAAACAAAAATTGAATGCACATGAAATGCTCTCCTGGCAAAGATTCGTGGTGTTTTACGAGAGCCTTAGCTAAAGGTGAAAAACCTGACCACATAAATTTAATATTGGAACACCAAAAATCCAGATTATTTTGACAAAAATTGTAGCCTATTGCGACATACCATCTTTCGATAGCTATGTGTGGGTTTCCGCGTAAGTTAGAGGTGTGGGATTCCCCGAAATGATATGAGACATTCTATAATTCTTACTATGACTTTTATTAAGAATTTAACCTTAAATACTTAGATATCGAACAAACTTACATTAAGTGAGAATAAACCAAAGTACGCAGTTTTAACTAACTCAGATCGCGCAATTAGATCACTTATCAAATATAAATATATTAGATCCGCCTAATCTCGTTTCAATAATATACTAGCGTTCAGAATATATTCTCCTACCTTGGTTCAATACTCAATGTCCAGGCTAATCCCAAAACTTTCTCCTAGGGTAGTACAATGGTATGTACTTTTGTATAGATTGGCGATGGGCGTCTTGATTCTAGCCATCGATCCACAAATCCCCATCTTTCCGAACTGAGCTTTCTCTAAATTGCCATCCGCTCACTAAACTTTCTATCCTTTTAAAGGTTATCTTATTTGCATCTATGCTTCGTTTCACTTCTTGGATTTGGGTTGGAAAAGTTTTGCCATTAATCGTGGCCGTCAAAGAACGTAGAGGTTATATTAGAAGAAGAAAGCGAGAGATGTCACAGCCCCCTCCAAGATATTCTTTTAGAGCATTTAAATAAAAGCTTGTTTTTAAAAAAGTTTTTTTTTTTTACTTTTAAATTATTTACAAATATATTAATTTTTATCGAAACTATCTATTTATAAGAGTCTACTTTCTAGATTTATATATATCAACGAGCTGCCTAGGTGGCGTGGTTGGTTTGTCACTTGCATTTGGCACCTAAGGTTGCGGGTTCGATACCGGCCAAATTTGGTGGATATTCATGATACAGAAAATCGACAGAGGCTATGTCATATGATATACGGCATGTAAAAAAACCCTAGAATGTCTGTTTGGCTTGCGTGTTCTCAGCAAAATTAAGCCCTAGTACAGGTTCGTATCGTCAGAACTGAAGGGGAGGAAACCGGGTGTCAAAATTACCCTGCGGCAATATGCATCTGCTTATATGTTGCCGCCCTATAAATAGGAACCAACTTCCGGGGAGTGTACTAGATCTGCAATGGTAAAGCACCAATCCACAGATCATTAGAAATATATATACATATATATATTAATGAAATTTTATACTTTCCATAATACGCGCATTTATACATTACTCACTGTATAGATTATATAATGTAATAAGAAAACCTTAATAAAAGTATATGATGTGTGTTATTCTTCATATTACTTTTAATGGCTTAAATAAATTATCAAATTTGCAGAGCTATAGAAAAGTAATACTGGAAAACTGTCCTGCGACAAAACTCTATGTATGCTGTGCCATGGAATCGGAGAAACTTTGAATGTCAAGCTGAAGAATGGTAGTCCAAATATTACCACCATCATATACCAAAAGTTTATCCATATTTTAATCCAAACAAGCGTTCCGACTGTTCTGTTGTTCGTTAATCTCAGAAATGATCAATAGGTGATAAATCCGGAGGATGGACAGACCATGGAAGAAACAGGACCTTTAGTACACTGAAAAGAGCCTCATACATTCCGAGCAAAAACTGTAGGAAAATTATCTTGGTGAAATACAGCTCTATAAACGCAAAGCACATCTTTTTTGATGAAGCACTTGCTATGCTGGATTCCTGTAATTTGTGTTGGGTGAAATTACTTGTGATATCTAATGACATTCCAGATAATAGTAGAGTATAACGCTGGATATGGTACTCAGGTAAAAGACGTTTGCATCTTTAGCATAGAATGAATAATTGTCTACGATTATAGCTCAGCTTGTAGAGGAACTCATCTAAGAAGAAGACTTGGAAACAAACGCTATGACAGTGATTGAAATGGTAACGTTTTTTTTAACCTGATGCCATTTTGTGCATCAAAAGAATCGTACGCATAGAATCATTGTTCCTAACTAACGGCTCTGTACACGTCAATGAACTGTTGGATTGGACACTGATACATATGCAGAAAAATGCCAATGTCATTATGCCAATTAAACTATGAAACTCTGTATGATGCGTCACCATAATGCGGATGAAGTGCTTATTCTCCCATGATGGTGAGATATTGCATGTTCATAGTAAGGATTTTAACGTGTAAGTTTTATCATGATAAATCTAACACCGTAATTGCTGTCGCATTACGCCTCGTATTTTCAGCTATTTCATGATACGAGAATCAATCTTCATAGATTCCGGTCATGCGATTTCGTTCGAGCTTCATTAAGTGCTCGTATAGAATTTGTATTTTTTACAAGGCATATTGACTTTCATTTAATCATTTACAACAGTCAAACAAGTATTTCAAAGGAGATTTTTATGCAAAACTACCTTTTTTATAGAGTAATTCTCAACATCTGTTCGATTACTTTCTACTTAATACAATGCACGTCTTTAAATTTTTTATGCAAGACTTTCTTCTAAATATAAAGGGAGTTTCTCTAAATATGTATAATTGCTTTCTAATGCTAATAACTTGCATGAAAACTATAGCATGCTTTGCACTTCCATCAAGTTTATTTTAATATTCTTAGTTTCTTCTTGATGTCAAGTTTTCACAAATAGTAGTGTATATACTATGTTTGTATAACAAGTAACATAAAAAAAAATAAGTCAATTCCTATTTAGGTCAACAAAGAAAAATTTTATTTTAGTTATTTTTTAATATGTATATACGAGGGATGATCAGTAAAAAAGGTTACAAGCCTCAGTATATGGAAACAACATATAAAGGAGAAATTTTGTTTCCCCAGAGTGGATACAAAGGGCACTACTTGTCACACAGCTTGTTTGCGGGTAGGTATTGAAAGTTCTCAGATGGCAAGACTCGTAAAAAATTGGTCTCGTTTGGAAGTACGAGCCGTGATTCAATTTTTATGGACAAAGAATGTGTTCGCATCTGCAATGAGCAGACAACATGAAGCGAAATTGTGTCACTCTTTTCAATCAGGCAGATAGTATGTCGAAAGACGCAATATGACAGGGAGAGGCTGGCCAAGTTCTTCAACGACAAAAATCAACACGGCACGAATTGGAGAAATGATTCAAATGATCGACGGGTAACTCTGCGTGAAATCTCGTCAGCGCTGGGACTGAGCTATGGTAGCGTGCAGCATATCGTTTCTGACGTGCTGCGATATTCCAAGACAGTGCAGTGAAAACATCCCTCGAGACCTGAGTGATGGACCGGGACCTGATTTCTTCCAAGACGGGTTAAACAAGTTGGTTCTGCGTTCTGATAATTGCCTAAATAGACTTGGAGATTATGTCGAAATGTAATAGGCATGTATGTCTCTTAATTCCCTTTTGTATTTTTTGTCTGTTGTTGATAAATATTTCTTTATTATATTTGTAACCTTATTTTCTGATCATCATATGACAGAATCACAATATTAAGTGCCAGAATAGAAAGAGATTCACCTCCCAAATTTTCCATTTTCCTTTCTATATATAGTGATGGACTATTTTTGTTTGTTTGTTACTGTACATTCATTAATTAAATTTAATTATTTTAAAAGAATAGCATAGTAAAAATGGGATCACATTCTCAGAAATTAAGTCATTTCAGGTGGGATTCGAATCCACGACCTTTGGATTAGAAGTCCAGCGAGCTATCAATTGCACTGCAGGAACACAATGAATCTTTTTTTCTATATATACTGTTGGACTATTATCTTTGTTTGTTACTATTTATTTTTTTAATTTAATTAATGAATTAATATTTGATAAAACTGCATTAACATCAAGTGTCATCCACTACAAGTTTAAAAAATGTATTTGAACTTGAATGGATGAATAGAAAAAGTATTTTATTAACAATTAAAAATTTGAACAAGATATATATATATATATATGGAGAGAGTGAACTAATAGTAGGAATTGAAAAACAGTAGGAGTCAGGGGTGTTATTGAAAGATGATACCATTAATGCTTTTAGGAAAGGACATACTGTATCAATATAATAAGACACTATCTATAATATGGGACTTTAATCAAGCTTAGATAGAAAAAAGAGTGCAAATGGCTAGGATATAAAATTTTGGTTAATAGCAAAAACTCTCAAAAACTAAATTGTGTAAAAATATACAAGGCATTTTTCTATGCTAGATGTATGAATATAATTATACAGAAAATTGTACAAGTAGCTATGTTCATTGCAATTTTGACAAAATTTATTATTTATTTTCTGACTTTTTTGAGAATATTAGAAAATAATTTTGTTGTTTATTAGTATACAATATATATATTTATCTATAATCTATTTATAAATAGACAGAGAAAAACTAGAAAAAAAAAGAATTACTAAAATTATTTATTTATTTTTTTTTTTTGCTGCAGAATTAGCTTTTGTCTTAGATAAGTAAGTACTCTATACGAAATATCTCTCAAATTTATTTTACAATCACGCTATCAGTCAATAAGCTTAAGGAATTATTGTTATCAAATTCCTTTTAACACTCTCTAGTATATTTCAAATACATGTATAGGAATATTTTATTATAGAGTATCAGAAGTTAAAGGTATTAGGAAAAACAATGTATTTTTACTTAAATAATAACTTTACATAGCTAAAGAATTTCCTTTTTTTCTAAAATTAAACTCTCCTTTTTTTTACAACCACCCAAATTAAAGTGGATTATTCTGAAAGGGAATAAGACGCATGACATTCTTAAATTTTTTTTTGTTTAGATTAGTATTAAACGCACAGGTAAAAATCATTGCATAAAAATTAACTAAGCTTATTTTTAATTGAAAATAGCTGTCAACTGATGTTGAAATAAAATATTACAGAGATTTTGCTTCGTGAGGAAAGAAGAAAAAAATGTTACAATCAATTTAAAAAAAATATTTTGTGACATAGTTTAATTTCTTAAAAGTTGTTTTTTATGTGTTAAGAATAACAAAAAGTAAATAAAAATACTACTTTCTTGTGTATAATTAATTATAAGTCTTTTTTTGGTTTAACAACTTCCTCTTCTTAACTTTATATACAGCTATCAAGAAGATAAGGATTGTCATTAATAATGTAAATCGAAATTGTTTCAAAGTTTCTAATCATTATTTAAAAAATAATGTCTGAAAAAAATATAGACGTAACTTCCAATTAGAAAAAGAAGATATTCAACTATTAACCTTTTCAAGCAAAATATAATTCATTAATTGTTGTTTTCATAGCCAATAAAAAGTGCATTACAATCTATAAAGAGCGTTTTGAATGAATATTTAAAATGAATGTTTCACTCTTTAACACACTTCGAATTTTTAATCAAGAAATATATGCATATAATTAAGCCTAAAATTTATTGACAACACTATGGGCTTATTTCACCAAAGGTTCATAAATAATATTTAAAAGTTTAAGCTGTTAGAGGAAAAAGTATATATAACTGGCATCTATATAATAATAAATTTTATATGAGAAAACACTAATTATATATATATATATACAATAATCAGTAATAAAATATATTCTCTTTTAATTACTGTCTCAACATGTCCTAGTATAAAAAGAAGTCCTTTACTCTTGTGACTTGATAATATGTTAAATTTGGAACTCTTCTTTAATTTGCTTAAGGAAATAAACTAGTTGTAGAATAAAGAAATAAAATATGTCAATATAGAAATAAATTATTCGCATAGAGTAAATCTCTGTTCCTCCACCTTTTTATTACGAAATCTGGATTTTAATGGTTAAAAAAAGCATTTAATGCAAAAACAAAATTTGATCACAAATTGTTAAGATCATTTTACTGTCCCCTCCCCCCCAAAAAAAAAAATCCTATTGATTACATGAAAGGAATATAATTTAATTAAAACACTGTTTTAACAATTCAATTGAATGTTATCTCCCATTTTAGGTGAAAAATATTTAACTTAAAAATGTTCTTTAATCTTTCAAGACATTTATTAAAATGAAATGTTTTGAAAATGCTGTAATAATATATTAAAGTACTACGAAATCATTTTTAACACTTGATTGCCCAAGGAAATCATTTTGACTGCTTTTTAATTTCAATTAGAAAAATAATTACGTATATAACGACACAATTTCTTAGACTTATTAGAATACATTTTTTTTTCTCCAAGTGAAGAAAATTCTTCTTATTGTTAATATTTACTAATGTCTTGTTATATTACTGTAAATAATATAAAAGCTATTGAAAATTATTTTTGAATCAATTTCTTAACACATTAGTAACTCTTTAAGAATCCAGTCATTTTGTCTGATTTGGGACAATATAGGTATATACTAAATTTCAGTCTTTCAGGTGTTAAATGAATTTGTAAGACGACATGTACCCTCCGTCTCTTAAAGTTGGTTCGTAAGGAGAGTAATTCGTTGAAGTAAGAAAGAAGTATTGATTTTGTGTGTTTAACCCTTAAAATTCACAGTCGAAACACCTAGTGTTTATGAAACTAACAATATTTATTGAAAATTTCACTTACTGCGTTTCGTTAAAGTACTGTTTATATCTCTGGAATAAATTGTTATATATATATACATTTTTCTACCTATACAACTATTTTAAAGATGGGTGCGTCATCTTTGGTGTTCAATGGTTCACTTATATTATGCACTTAATTGTCTTAGAATTTTAATATTTTACTGTTATAATATCTTTTCAGAATGCGATGGCGAATAGTTTAATTTTTCAAGCTTAATGATTTAATTTTAATTTTTTTAATTTTTAATTTTTAAAAAAATTTTGAGAATTGGATATTTTCCGATTAAAACTTACCAAGTTGCAATAGAGAGAAAGTTGGCGCCATCAAACTAGTTTAACCCCACTTATCGGTCCTAAGTCAAGGTTGCACTTGGATATTTTATAAATTTTTATTTCATAATTTTTAAATTTGTTTGAAAACGTTGGAATTTTGTCTTCTATATTTGTCATTGATATTTTGAAATGGGATTTAATGTTATAAAATTCATATAATTTCAATTTTTAAATGATTATTAAGTTGTGATTAAATTATATATATATATATATATATATATATATATATATATATATATATATATATATAAAAAGTGAAGAAGTACTAGAGCCTACAGTGCTAAAGCAGGAAGAAATTGGAATTCACCAGACACAACAAAAGAGTACAAAAAAAGTCTTTGGACTAAACTGGAGACCTATTATGATTTCTAAAGCTGTCGCTGAATTAGGCCAGCGAATTAGGGTTAGCAATGCTTTATGGATCCACCTTCCCCGTACAGCAGAAACTTTCGACATAATAGGAAAAAAACCAAGTTGAAAAGTTAAGCCTAATACAGCACGTGGAAGAAAAATTGCTAATATAATAAAATGAAACTCAGAAAAGAGAACAGTAATGAATGACTCAATATATATATATATATATATATATATATATATATATATATATATATATATACATACTGTAGTGTCTGAGTACTGCTTGGTGGTATATTCAGGAGTTGGCGACGTTCCCACACCGGTAAGGGGTTGCTGTGTTTCAGAGAAGGTTGCTTGACCCGGAGTGTACGGTCGAGAGAGGACCGGAGGGAATGAAATTCCCTGGGTGATAGAGCGACCACAGACGTGGTCTGGCTGAATAAGAAGAGATGGTCTCTTGGGACTGTGTTTTAAATTGATTCATTTGAAAAACAATGGACATTGTAGTTTGATCGGTATTTGATTGTATTATTTAATAAAAAGATGATACATTATTTAAGATTTAATTATGTTTTGTTTTGATTGATTTGAGAAGTAATTAAGAAATAAATAAAGATATGACATATATATTATATATATATATATATATATTTAAATATATATAAATCAATCACAATTTCACAAACAATTAAAAAATTGAAATTATATGAATTTTATAATACTAAACCTCATTTCAAATTATCAATGGCAAATATAGAGAATAAAATACCAATGTTTTCATACAAAATTAAAAATTTTATTAAATAAAAATTTATAAAATATCCAAGTGCAACCTCGGACTTAGGACCGATAAGTGGGGTTAAACTAGTTTGACGGCGCCAACCTTCCCCCTGTTGCAACTTGGTAAGTTAATCGGGAAGTATCGAATTCTTAAAAATTTAAAATTTAAAAAGTTTACTTATAAAATTAAACTATTCGCCATCGCTTTCTGAAAGATATTATACTATTAAAATGTTACAACTCTAAAACAATTAAGTGCACAAAATAATTGAGCCATCGTACACCAAAGATAATGCAATCATCTTTAAAATTGTCATTTAAGAAGAAAAAATATTTAAAATCCATAATTTCAAATTAAAACCCAGTATATTCACAAATGAATAGCGTAAATCATCAAAAACTCACCCAAGAGCATCCTATTAATAATTCAATTCACAATTCCTGAACGGTTTCTCATATTTCCTACAACAATTACCACTCCTATATTGCTCATAACTCCCATTAATGCCATATCAATCCAAATGATCCATATTCTCACATTAGAGCAGCGTTCTTCAGACTGTGGGGCGCGCGCCCCTTGGGGAGCAAGTGCATATCAAAATAAAAGATTAAAAAATTAATTAATCTACTGGAATGAATAAAAACAAAATAATTTCAGACATAATAAAAATGCACTTTTACTCTGATGTAAATTATGTATATCATATGTCGAAATAA